ATTGCTCTACTGCATCGCACTTCGCTGCTCTGGACCGTGCTGCACTGCTTCGTTGCGTTCCGTCAGGACATAAAGGAATCACAACCAAGAAAACACCGCCATCTTTGGTGCTTGCTGTAGAGTGTTTTGCAACAGAAATCAATCAGCAATCAGTACCGCAGCTGTACYGCAATCGCGATTTCACCGAACCGGGACACCAGTCGACTACAGTACTTCTTTCCTGCCCGGAATCCAAAACAACAGAGGAGAAGTCGACACGGAACAAGACTGCACAGCCGAACACATTGTCGATCACCAACCATGGGACGGCGACGGTTGCTGCCCAACATCAACTCGATGCTCCTGCGACTCCATCTGCCTCCGCCGCAACCGCGGAGCAGCACCAGCAGCGGAACCATCCACCTCGAACCACACGGAAACGGGGGAAACGCGAAGGCAAAGGACAGCGACGATTCGGACCACCGAACTGCTACCACGACAAGCAACGAGCCAAAGCAGCAGATGCGGAAGCAGGAAGAACAGAAAGAAGAACACGAACAGCAAGACGTTCCCGTCCACCAACTCCACGTCTTTTCTTGGCCRTCCCTTCGGAAACGGCCATCTGCCCTGTCTTGCTCGTCGTCGAACGACGACGGAGAGGAACACGACAGCACCAGCAGCAACGAAAACGAGGACGAGGAACATTCGGGGGCAGAGCCAACTTCCACTTGCAGGCATGACCGCGGAGGCAGAGACGAACCGGAGTTGATTGGTTCCGCGCAATCGCCGGGATCGCGAGAGCCATCCCAGCGAAAGGACGCACTGAATCGCCCCCGCCAGCGACCGCCACAGCCACACAGCGTTTCCTTTGGAAACTGTTTGGTCCGGATCTACCCCCAGGTCTTGGGGGACCATCCGTGCTGCTTGGAGGGCTGCCCCATCCAGCTTGGTTGGTTCTACACCGAGGAGCGTCTCTTTCGGGTTGATGACTACGAGTCCGAGCAAAGGGGGGCGGTGGGCGATGAGTGCCAACGCCAGGCTCCACAGCAACAGCTATCGCATCACGACGACGAKGACGAGCCAGCGGAACCGCCACAGAGGCCTTGCAAACACAAGCGCGCCCCCCACGAATTGAGGTTGACCGCCGAGGAACGCCGATCGATCCTCCTGCACACCAAGCAGAGACTGCAGAACGGTCCAGGTTACGGCAGTGGCACCGGCAATAGCAGCCGGGAACACGAACGACAGGAACCATACCGATCCGGTGGGAGTTGCAACCACCAGCCCCACAACAAATGCCGGTACTCCACCCACGATGGACGGCAGCTGCGGCATGAACGCGAGCTGAACCGGGAATGCCGGAGGCTACAGCGCTGCAACAACAACGTAAAGGCCTCGAGGAAACGAGACCGGAGGTCCCGGGCCGCCTTCTTTGGTTCCACCACATGTGCAAGTACGTCCGAGCCGCCGGACGTGCMCACCACCAGCGACAACCGCGATAGAAACGATACAAACACAATGCTGGGTATAGGCAGTAGCGACGATAGTGACCATGGTAGTCGCGYGTTGTGTGTTCCGGAACAGAAAGCGCGCGATGCTTCTTCGAATAGCACCAACAAACGCACGCCCTCGGTGAACCAGGGCGACGGCGAGGATTCCCATGGCAGCCACAACAACAACAGCCACACAAACGAGAGGAAACCAACGACGGCCGCCATCATTGCTGCCACTTGGAACGAGGCAACTGTCCCAGATGCGTACTCGTATTACACGGACCTGTTCGCCGCCGACGACGTCGAGGAACTACCACCATAGCCAACGAATCGATGCACACCGCGTCTGCCGCAAAAATACATACAACGAATCCAATGCAATCTACCGATACAATGGCAACATCTTTGGGCCATCATTTGTTCATGTGGAAGGAATGAAGCAGACGGTTTGCTCGGAACGGGACGGGACGGAATCCGAAATGATTCACGATGGGGGTCCGTGAAACGCAAGACAATGGGATTTTACTACTACCTACCAGTTAAGAATATTATGGCACTTTAGTAGACTACTTCGAACAMTACAGTACGAAACCATGACAGCTAGAACCAACAAGGCGCTATCCGTTTGAGATATCGATGCCGCGTGAAGAACATACTGCTGTTGTGCATGACCCCTAGTAGCAGTGTCACTGGAATGCCATTCTGCAATACAAGACGCAACAAGTTGAGGAGGCCGAATGCATAGAATTTCCACTCCACCTAGCAACAAAAACAAAGTTGAGTAGTATTATATCATTTTTTTCTTTTCATCATACCACCACTCTCTGATTTTTCCTTTGTCTCATGCCGGTGACAGTTAATATGTGTCAGTTGTAATATTTTGATAGCAAAAACTAGTACTAGTATGCGTCACCAATTTACTTACTYTATGTTCTTGACAGTTGTAATTACTAGCAGAAGATGGACTATATGTTATTTTCTTGTACTCTGAAGTGAAAAAACATCTATCTTACTCATTCTAAGAACTGTTTCAATCAAGAACTTTTGCTGCATTTTTAGTAGTCTGTCAGAGAGAAATGGAAGGGGTAAAGACCACCTGCTCCCTTGAGCTATTACTAGAATGAACACAACTGCTGCAAGAGAGTTCTCTGTTCCAGGGAAGTGGCATTAATCAACTTGGAAGAGCTTGCAAACATATCAGATCTCAAGTTAGAGGAGGAGTTGGAAGTAAAAACATGAAGTCAACTTCAGCAGTGGTAGCACCACCAAAGATAAATTTTGTGGCATCATCAATTTCTTGGGTGAATTGGGTCTAACACTTAAAGGAAAAGGAAGCCAGACAGGAGTACAGCCATCTACAGCCTATGGATCAACAGATGAAGCCATTGGATGTGGTCCTGACAGAACAAATAAGAGTAGGTCACAAACCTTGCTGGTTGCAGAGGGTAGCATTACTGCTGGTTATCCGCTGCCTCTGCATTTCCAACTCAAATCAAATGTGACTGAAGAAGAGAAGCAGCAAATCCAGAAGACATTTGTTAACAGTGTWCAAAACACAAAAGGCACATACAGCAGAAATGAGAACATGAAGATGCATTTGATGAGGCTTTTGTGGTAGAACAATGCAGAGAAGTATGGAACGCCATTCTTGGGATTGCATGGTTCACATGTAAATGCCTAGGGGACAAAAATGTACAGCATGAACTGATAGTATTGCCAGATAGATAGATTGATTTGAACACAGATCCAAAGACAACAGTGCTCTTTGCACACAAGCAGAAGAACACCACTGAAATTAATTCTTGAATGATATTGGTTTCAATGGTGAAGTTTTTCATGAGTATGCACCATGGACAAGTGTGCAGCGGGTGCAACAAGTGACAGAACCAAATACCAGAGCTTGCCAAGATGCCATTGCAGGGGTTAAGCATTGATGTCAGCACTTGGTCACAATGGGCAGAGGCACATTCAACACAAAGGACTAGTTCATTGTGAATGAAATATCCAGAAAATTGGACAAGACTAAGCACTTTGAGGCACTGAAGAAGGCTGCAGCTTCAGCAAAAACAAAAGATGTTAAGAAGGAGGAAAATGCCAAGGCTCACAGCTGGCCTCCTAGTACTGTAGTACTTACTTGTTGCATCACCAAGATAGCAGTTACTGCTGGTAGAGTGAGTTGACCCCTAGCTAGTTTTTGAAGTGTGCTAGAGCTACTAGTACTTCAAGCCCCAATCCAGAAGAGATAAATTTTCATTTCTAAACTTTAGCTACACATAATCAGTGCCCTTCTTGTTTTGCTAATTACATCTGCAGTCTTTACTCTAGATTACAGGCTATTCTAGAGTGATTCAAAGAACCCTGTTGTGTACCAGAAGTGGAAACATTGTCTCTGCTGCAACAACAACCTATGTGATGCACAAGCAAACTTTTAAGCTTCTTCTTTTACTCATGGTTGTAAAGGACATCACAACAACAAGCTTTGTTGACATTATAGTTTGATCATTACTATAACAATCTGTAGGCACTACTACAATTGACCTATGGCTCTTTCATAATATTTCACAGATCACTTCTTTTCAAAGCATGGCACAGTATCATTATCAAAAAAAGGGAAAATCAAGCTCAACTATTGTATAAGCTTGGCTACATTTTTCCAGTCAAACCATTTGTACATTTTACTCCTATATTCATACAAATATATTGATATGTTCCACTACTAAGACCCCCTTGCTCCCCCATAGTACTGTTAGAAAGCTCTTTTTACTGGGAATCAATTTGTGTGCCTATCACACTCAAGCGTCCATTGGGGACAGAGATAAAGCTGTTCAAGTGAGTTCAACCTCTCTTAATGGTTTACATGTTTTTCTACTGTGCTTTGATTTTGGGCCATCTCATTACCATGTACTAATSACTCGTGGGATTAAAAATTTGACTTGTACTACCAGTACAGCGGGGCACCTGCGAGCAAAACTATTTGGTTGCACAGATGTGGGATTCAAAAATTCAGCAYGTTCCCTGTTGTACGGTAAAAAGATAGTCCAAAATCAATGCAAAGTAGTATAATTTAACCATATAACTGTTTGAGTCTTGAACTGACAGTTTGAGCTGTATCTTGGTCCCCAACAGGCACTTGACAATGATAAACACATGAATTGAATCCCAGTAAAAAGATGAGTTCAGTGATATGGGCGGTTATAGGGGTTATTGAATATTTAGTTATATTACTGTACATATATTGAGTATTAAAAATGTACAATTAAATTGGCCAGAAAAATGTAGTAGCCAAGCCTATGGTATAGACTTGGCCAGCAGATGTACGGTTCTAACCTTGTATTCGTGGCCATCTTTTTGTGTGTAATGACTAATTTGACTAAAAAGTACAAAATGCATGTGCTCAGTAGTGTTAATTTTTGAGTCCCRCAAGTGTGCGACCAACGTGCACRTGCTCAACTGACAATTTTGGCTTTGAACACATGCAAATTTTTAATCCCACAAGTCATTACACGGTAAAAAGATAGCCAAAAAGATAGCCCAAAATCCACGCACAGTACAAAAAACACGTAGGGCATTAAGAGAGGTTCAACTCACTCGAACAGCCATAACTTTTTCCCTAAGCACATGGTTAAAAAGAGAATTCAAAGAGCTTTCTAATGCCGTGGGGGAGTATGGCGTACGACAAATATTGACCAATATACATGTACGTATATCTTTAATTGCTAATGTACGGTTACAACCGTCTTTTTTTGCTTGGCCCAYGCTATACGATACAATACAATTTGTAGGTGCTTTCTTTGTGTGAACCCATCATCAGCCACAAAGAGAAGGAATGAAAAGCACACACCTGCCCAAAGGTTTGTGAAAGGCAAAATCCAAGAGGTGTTACATAGTACAGTCCTGAACAGTAGCATTGATTCAGAAGTTACTACAGAACAATTACATGAATAGTAGAATATTACAAAGAAGACATAACAGAGGTTGAAGACCAAACTGGACCAGCATTAGATGATTTGAGGAAACAACAATTTTCAATGTGTCCAATCCATCTAAAAATAAAACATTTTGCCAACTTCAATGTTGTTGCTGTTGGTGGGATATTTGAGACAAATCTTGGTTCCATCACAGCCACCATCTTCCATCAGTAGAATGCACATATTGGGAAATGTCTATCCACCTACTCCTGCATCCTGCTTGTCAAACACTTCACCAGAGGAGTTACTAGGTTCATGACACTTCCCCAAATTTGGCAGCTCACCCAAAATTTGAACCATAGATGACTATACCAACATGCTTGAAACACATTTGCAGGAGTGCTGGTGCCCCTTTGAGCAACCATGAGTGTCCTTCTCCCTAGAATTGATGGTCCTGGCTTTCTTTGTGCCTCTTCCAGCAGTTCACAAGGTTACAGACGATATTACATTTTTTAATGTTCCCCTGTTACTTCCTCAGAGTTGCCCCTTGTTCTCAGACTATGAATATGCCCAATTATCAAATTGCATTYTGCCTSGTGATCATCTGCTATGGAAAACTTCTTGCTTCCAACCCCTTTCTGGCATGAATTTGTAAACAAAATTCTTGGGTTTCAAAGTGGATGAAAATTGATGAAGGCTCCATGAATATTTTTTGCATTAAAAGGAACACTAAAATAAAACATCAATCACTGAATGATGTGTTACTGTGATAAGTCCCATAATCCTGCATGTGATGTCTCACCTTCAAGTATGTCTTCTAGTATCTAGTATGTTCTTGACAGCTGTGCCAATGTCTCTTGGACTGGTGCATCCCTCTCTTTTTTGTGACCACCACCAGAGTTGTCAACTATGTAGCATCATCCAACTATACTAGGAGTTCACCATCKTTGTCTTGAAACCAATTYACCACTATTACTGCACTTTTCTTAGTGATTCTTCATTAAGTGCTGAAACACACAACCTACAAGGTCATTTTATTGTTGTTTCTGATCATGTCAGTCATACTCCTAATACTTTCCTCGTCATCATTGATAATACTATGGAGATCACCTACTGGTCTACTATTATTGTTTGTTCTCTTTTTGCTTACTTGTGCAAAATCCCCCCATCCCCCCATCCTCCCTGAAAACCTTTTTCCTGGTGATGATAAGAAGAAACCTTTTATTTGAAACTTCCTTTCCCCACTCCTCCTCCCTTTATGTCATTTTTTGTTTAAAATGGAGATGAAGTCCTGTAATGATAACCTCCTTGGTCATCTCCTTGATCCTCTTGTCATGGTTTTGGTGGTTGCATAACCTCTCCTCTGCTACAACAAGGGTAAAATAAAATGCTAAGTTTTWAACGTCCTTTACATAACATCATCTTTTCCTTTATAGCAGAACACTCATCTGATATTATGTGTGACTTG